AGATGAGGAGAGGGAATGAGCAAAAACGTTTAGAACAATGTGATAGTTGGAGGCACATGAGGAAAGTAAGTATTGGGAGAAAGGGGGAGGAGAGAGCAACAACTTTAAGAACCAGTGGAGTTACAGCGGATAACCGTAGGTATATGAGGAAAACGATCAGAGGGGAAAAGTGGGAGGAGGGAGCAGCAAGCCCGGAAACCAATGGAGTGGAAGCAGACAATTAGATACACATGAAGAAAGCGATCGGTGAAAAGAAGGGGACGGGAGAACAGCAGCTTTAGAAATTAGTGGTGTGATAGCAGACAGCGGTGTATGCACGAGGGAAGGTATTGGAGGAAGGAAAGTAGATAACGGAATAGCAGCCTTGGAAACCACCAAGGGAACAGCCAATGCATGCCTTTTAAAAGTAAAACAATTAGGGACATTGGATGGACCGATGACTAGGTCCAGGAGCCGTGCGCAAAGCCGGCCAGTATCATAAAAGGGGGACTCCCATCGACTTGCTTCCATGCTCTGATGATGTCAGCAGTGCTGGCCGACAAAAGCTCAGCATTTTTATTAAGCAATTTCTAGTTTGATATTATCCTGGTGCTCGTATTTATTTGTTTTTTTACTGCGCGCGTGCGCACACACACACACACACACACACACATATTCCTCAAATTTATTCTGATTTCTTAATTTGTAAAAAGTATCTTCCATTTTCAATGTTGTCACTCCCTTTTCTGATTTTTCAGTTGGCTGGGTCTGTTGGTCAATTGGGTCCTCTGTCTTAGTGTTTAGTTTTTCCAATTTTCCTTTTATTTTCTGCATTGTTAGTTGTTTGCTTGTAATCAAGATCTGTGTTTATATATTTAAGCTAGCACCTTGTTCCTTTGTGTTGCTTCTTATTTTGTCAGAAGCTGAATAATAATAATAATAATAATAATAATGATGATGATGATGATGATGATGATGATGATGATGATGAAGATGATAATATTGGAAGGGACCTTGGAGGTCCTCTAGTCCAATCCTCTGCTCAGGCAGGAAACTCTATACCAGTGATGGCAAACCTTTAAGAGAGCGAGTGCCCAAACTGCAACCCAAAACCCACTTATGTATCGTCGGGTGCTGGATGGGCATGGCCCATTGGGTGAGCGTGACCAATTGGGTGGGCATGACCCATTGGGTGAGCATGGCTTCAGTGATAACGGCAGACTGGGTGGGACTAAAAAGTTCAATCAATCAATTCCAACTTTGCGAGATCTTTTTTTTCCCATGAGAAGTTGAAATTGATTGATTGAACTTTTTTTTTTTTTGCACATGGCAATGGAGGCCTAAAGCAAAAAGGTTTTATAAAATCCAGCTGAAGGCCTAGAAATAGGGCAATGGTGCACGTGCCCACAGAAAGGGCTCTGCGTGCCACCTGTGGCACGCGTGCCATAGGTTCGCCACCACGGCCCTATACCATTTCAGACAAATGGCTGTCCAGTCTCTTCTTAAAAACTTCCAGTGTTGGAGCATTCACCGCTTCTGGAGGCTGGTTGTTCCACTGGTTAATTGTTCTAACTGTCAGGAAGTTTCTCCTTAGTTCTAGGTTGCTTCTCTCCTTTATTAGCTTCCATCTGTTGCTTCTTGTCCTGCCTTCAGGTGCTTTGGAAAGTAGCTTCACTCCCTCTTCTTTGTGGCAGCCCCTGAGATATTGGAACACTGCTATCATGTCCCCCCTCCTCCTTCTCTTCATTAAACTAGACATACCCAATTCCAGCAGCTGTTCCTTATATGCTTTAGCCTCCAGTCCCCTAATCATCTTTGTTGCTCTTCTCTGTACTCTTTCTAGAGTCTCAACATCTTTTTTACATTGTGGTGACCAAAACTGGATGCAGTATTCCAAGTGTGGCCTTACCAAGGCATTGTAAAGTGGTATTAATACTTCACGTGATCTTGATTTCATGTATTGATTTCAACATGGAAAGGATTTTTCCTGATCTTTATCCATATTCTCTTGATAGTATGTTAAGTTGAAGACTTGAGAATCAAATGTTAAAAATATGTTTTTGTCTTTTGTAGCTGGGACATCTATTTCATGTTTTATAGGTGGTCTTTATAGTAGAATTTTTTTTATCAAGTAAGAGTTTATAATCCAAAGTGTTCCATCATCTTGTGTAATAACATATGCTTCTCATGCAGGGAAATAGGAAAGCAATTCCCCAAGTACACAATTTATTATGCTTAAGGAAACTTGGCTTGAAGCCCAGACTCAGATAAGACTCTTTGTTGTTCCTTGACACTTTCACTTTTGCAGACTGCAGCTGAGAAAGGGGAAAAACAAAAATTGGGCTGCTTATCTGGGTTGGGGACCCTATTGGACTATAAAGACTACATACAAAAACAAAATGAGTGTTCCATATCCAGCCTTAAATGGTAAAAAAATCATCTTCAACACCTGTCTCCAAAGGTCGCAGCTTGATATATCAACAAGAAAATGCTAATGAATCTCAGAAAGAAATTATTTCCATGTTGAAATCATTCCAAGAGACAATTGTTTTATTTCAGGATGAGTCTAAAAATAATGCAAATGAGATAAAAGAACAATTTTCTAACCTAAACTTACAAATTCAGACAATGACTGGAGCTCTCTCTTCCTCTTTATTTCTGACAACACCAACCCTGTCAATAGGCTGGGATATGAGAGGATGACTGGCTCAAAGTTACTTAGTGACCTTCCACAGCTGAGAACATGAGTCTTCTCTGTGTCAGCCATGCACCTCAGTGGCTATCTAATTATTCTTTTAGTGGCTGAAATATTATGGATTGAAAGAGAAATAAAGGTTTGGATGCATCCTGACAGAGAAGTACCTTTCTTTAACAAGCATTAAAATCAAGCACATTTGGTATAAATCTGAAAAGAAACCTTTTTCACAGTTAAATTTATAATGCTTATACCTTTTGGTGTTTCTTCATAGGGATAATTAAATTGAAATTAAGTTCCAGGAAAAGATTACTTGTCCCACAATGTTATGACAATATATATGATGATGATAGATATCCATTTAAATATATACACAGAAGAGATTCTAATATATATTAATTTAGATTGAATAATATTTCAACACTTGCTGCACCCAAACTCATTGCCTTTACTGGGTGATGTCATAGGGAACATATTTACAATGGCAGAAGAAGAAATGGAAATAAGGTAAATGTTAAAAAGCTTGGTTTCTTACTTAATTTCATCAAACACTGTTGGAAGTGGTTCTTCTGTGAAGGTTAATATATTGGAGATACTAAAGCTATGAGAAGCAATGACACCAATGATAAAGTCTCCTGACTGATGATCGATGGCAAGTGAGGAACACGCAACCCACATTTAACAGTGGGAGTCTTGCACAATATGCAAGGAATTAGTAGAAACTGTAATGCCATCATCCTGCACACAGATCTCTCCTCCGTTCCCTCCATTGTTTGCTGAGTTATTTTTTCAATCCTCTATTGAAATGTCCTGTTTGTATCTAAAGGTTTTAGTGGAAAATATAAGTTATTAGAGAGCAGATATGAGAATCTGTGGTTGTGCCTATATCTTGGCCATATCTGTAAATGATAGAAAGTATCATCATTTTGTAATTTTCTATGTTGTTGCTGAAATTCAAGCAACTACCTTGAATTCCTATTCACTGTAAAATAGTATAGACTTGGCATTTAGTAATTGAAAATATCAGTGATAGAACAGATCCATACTTGTTCCTAGCTTCCTACAACCTCTGAATGCTATAGGAGATACTGTATATATTACCTTTCCTAGTTTTATTATTCAGTTACTGTATGTTACCACCTGCAACCACTCTATTCAAGTGGTCTGGGTTTGGCAAACAGCAACATTAATTACAGTACTTCTGATAATAAAGTTGAGGAATCCCCAAGGAACTGCAGATAGGAGCATGTTTGTCAGATACAAACAGAAGTTTTCTCTTTAATTTTGTTGGAAAGGGGGAGACATTGTGAATTTTGAAGACCAGGGGATAAAATGTCAGTAAGTATGAATGTATTCTTTATTATTGTTAAAATCCTTTAACAACTTATATTGTTTGAATAAATATAAAAAGAACTAAAAATAAAACAAATTACAAACAAGAATAAAAAATCAGAACATGACTAATAACAGGCAAAATAAAAGAATAAAAATATGAACCATCTAGGTATATCAACTATATATCAAGTATGAAACAATATATGAAAGTTAAAATTAAAACAAAGAAACCATTATTTTAATTGTCATGAAATCCAGTCCAGAAGGATACAATATTTTTATTCACTTGACCAATGAAAAAACAGAGAAGAATATATCTGATTTTCTGAAACATTCTTAAGAAGAGCAAGAAACTGTCATTTTAAAACCATCTAAAAGAAATGTTCATTGAAGGGTTTCCAATGAAGATCAGAAATTAAGTTTAAAAGAACAACTTTGAACCATTTTTGCACAAAGCATAATCCACAAGTTGATTTTTTTCCCATTCTTACACAGAGTAGTATTGATTTCTCTCAAAAATGAATAGTGTAGAATTACAATCCTGTTCCATGATCTTCTGTGAGGGGAAGCTGGGCAAATATATTGGTGGCAGCTATTTTGTCAACAAAACACCTTCAGCAAATAAGAGTTATTTATCTTGTAGTTGCTATATTTCATTATTGCTTTATTCCTTTAGTCTGTCTTCAACTCAATATTATAAGGACTCTTAAGAAAATAGGAAAACAGCTCTGTTTCATATGCTCATAATTATATAAGCAAATCACTGCACACTGAATTTCAAGAAATGTCTTGTTTGTGTGTATTTTCATATGCAAAGTATAACACAGCACATCTAGCCAAACTGTACAAATCCGGCTTTCCATGAAATTTCAGGCTTATTTAATGAAGCCTCTGTGGGATTCCAGTACATCTGCCATTCCGGAAAAACTGTTATAAATTTACATTGTTATAATTCTGAAAAAAATAATAAATATGGAGAAATATAAAAAGGTTCATGGCTTATTATTCTTTAATGTTATGTAAATGAATAAGAGGATGGGGAAAGGGAAGAGGAAGAAACAAGAAGAATTAGATCAAACGATGGGGATGATTTCAAAATATATATGATTCCAGAAGAAAATACCATACAGTGGGAGCTTTATCATACAGATTTGACAAAGGTCAGTTTGCACAAACTACAGCAGGCAATCTAGACAAATTCAGACATGTCTACCAAGTTTTGTTCTCTACCAAGTTTTGATATTATATAAGACAGATAATATTGATAATCAATGAAAGAAGCATAGTTATATTAGCAATAGCAACCAAGGAACATCCATTGTTAAGGATAATTAGGTTTAGGGCACTAATGAAACTAGATTCTACTTCTGGAGCATGTCTCAAGATCCATTTGGTGTGGGCGCTAACCCGAGTGTAGACGCCAGGGCGTTTGGGGGCAGCACAGACATCTCCCCAGCTCACTACACCAGCCAAAACCCAATCTCCATTCCATGGACAAAGCAATGGTCCCCCTGAGTCCCCCTGTAAAATAAAGAAATAAAGCATTACTCTCCAAGAATATAACATGAATTTTCTGTCAGAAAGGGTTCTTACATATGACTGATAGGTGAATCTTACTTCGACACTAGAAATATGATCATATCATACTATCCAAAGGCTGTGAGCAAGACAGTTTGGGGGGACAAATTACTCTGTATTTCAAGAAAAAAATGATGGGAGGGTTCAGAAGGAATAATTTTACTGACTTCCACTCATGTCTCACAGCATCTTCTACATGGGGCAATTGCCTCTCTCCACCTAATGGTAAACTGATCTTGTTCTATCAGCATACTTGTAACAAAAGCAAATATTGAAAACATTCACAAAATCAAAAAGGGAATAAATCTTGCTCAGGGAAATAGATATATACAAATAAAACAAATAGATGTATACAAACAAAATACCTTAACAGCAATTTCACTAGCAGATGTCTTTACAATGGAAAGGAACTAGCTCACATTAAAAGGTGCATTAAAATGTATGAGGCATACAGAAGCCACAATGTTTATTTAGTTGTTCAATACATATTATGACCTGGTGCTACATTGCAGAATGTTTAATGGTGTTTAAATGTTTAATTTAATATTCTTAACCAGTCCCTTGAAAATTTGATATCTATATTCAAGAAACATCCTAGAATTTATGAATAATTTTGGTAATATAGCAAGTTCCTGTCCTCACCCCAGCTCCTGCCAATCTAGTGGTTCGAAAGTGTTCAAATGCAAGTAGATCAATATGTAGCACTTCAGTGGGAAGATAACAGCACTTCATAACGTCATGCTGGCCACATGACCATGGAAATGTCTTTGGACAGTGCTGGCTCAATGGCCTTGAAACAGAGATGAGTACCCCCCCATAGTCGGCAATATAGACTAGGAGAGTAAAATCTGCAGAAACTCATTTACCTTTCCCTTTACTTATATGTATAGTTGGGGGGGAAATGCCAGCTGCTTAGAAAAATAAGATTGGGAAAAAAAGAATGTTGTATTCAGTATGATGTAAAGGTTAGGTTACTAGGCTAAAAACCAGGAGACTGTGAGTTCTAGCCCAACCCTAGGCACAAAACTAGCTGGGTAGCCTTGGCCAAGTCATTCTCTCTAAGCCCTAGAAAGAAGGCAAGGGCAAGCCACTCCCAACAAAATCTTGCTAAGAAAAGGGACTTGACACGGAAATCAACAGAAATCAACAATGACTCAAAAGCATATGCACACAAATTATTATTACCTGGCAAGCATCCTTCTTTCCTTCCATGTAACCTGCACATATCATGTCATCTTTTATTATGGTCGCCATCCCAAGCTCCTTAAAGTCACTGTAAAGAGTCTCACAGGTAGCCCTGTCAATAAGGGGAAGAAGTACTTCCTGCAAAATCTCGGGTTCAGGAAGTGGGACTGAGAGAAAGAGAAAAGAAAGTTATTTCTTCAGATTCCATCAAAGGAAAAAGCAGAACATCTAGGTAAAAGAAGGAATTTCAACAAACTGAACAGCTTGTCAATGTATTTACTGCTGCTGAAATTTAAACAAATTTAAACAATTATTCATCAAATATTATACCTGTTCTTCTTTAAACAATTATTTAAATTACACAAATTCTAAATAATATTAAAGGTGCATAAGCTCCTTTTCACCTGCATGTGTCCAGGCAGTTATTAAAATCCTTGATAACTTAATTCTATTTTTACTCATTGTTTTTCCTCCAGAAAAAATATCCTTAATGTCAGGCTTTCTGAATCCACCTGAAACACTTGCTCCATTCCAACAAAGCCAATTAGTAGAAGTTGGGGGCAGGGTAAGGTTCTATTTATTTTTGTATTGATGTTTTATTATTATTATTATTATTTTGGTGTTAAGGATTTTGTGCTTAGCTTGTTTCTGCCTTGTATTTAAGATACAAGGTTTTTTTTAAAGGTCTAAAAAACCCCAGCCATTGGATAAAACGGGTTCACACTTATGACAACATAACTCATTTAATGACTACAGTGACTCACTTAATAACCATCATAAAAATGGTCATAGAATCGAGGCTGGTCATGCAATGCCTTGACTTACAATCACAACTTACAACCAAACTTCTGATGCCGATTTTGATTATAAGTCAAGGACTGTATTTCTACTAATAATTTTGGAACATATATACCTATGAGTAGCTACAAACACCAACAGATATGTGATTGATATACAGTATATATATATATATATATATATATATATATATAGAAATAATATAGAAATATATCTGATAGCCTCACCTTGTGATTTAATGTTCCCCCATCCTGCAACCCAACAACCCAATCTGGGAGGGAAGACAATGGAAAGTCCTGGTAAACAGGCAGGCTGGATACGCTGGGTGAAATTCACAGAGCTTTCAAGTTCCATAAGTGCAATATCATTGCCTTTTGCGAGCCCAGTGTAGTTGGAGTGGATGATAATTTGCTTCACATTCACTAGTACCGACTCTGGTCCCGGATAGGAGAGATTGTAGGATCCCAAAAGAACGGCAAATAGAGAGGGATCTGAGAGACTGTAGACAGAGAAATTGGCTAATAAAACATAAGCAGGAATATGAGAATGAAAACAGATATATTGTTTAAAATTCAGCTAGGAAGAGGAGGAGGTTGAAATTAGGTAGTTAAGAGAAAGTTAAAAAAGTATTTTAATTGTGGTGAGGAAATAGGAAAAGAAATCTTGTGGGGAGATTGGGCTTTATGCCTCAATAATTTAAAAAAAAACATGATAGAATCTATTAGAAAAGGTGTGACTGAAAACTCACTTCCTTAAGAATGGGAGAACAGTGTTAGTCATGAGTGTCAAATATTAGCTTTCTCCATGAAAGAATGGTAGAAACTGACCTCCAGGATGCTAGATCTCTTGGTAAAGGAAATGAAATTTTATAAATTAATTTCAGAAGTCTGAGAATCAACCCTGTGGGGTTTTGTATGAAGGGAGTGAAGTTTGGAAACTGTTCTCACCTGCTAAAGCAATGTGCTGCTGTGAGAACCCAGCGTGAGGCAATGAGGGTTCCCCCACACTGATGTGAGTCTAAAATCTGTATGCTGGCCTGCCATGGCCATGAACCCACCTCAGCCTCTGTACCTCCTACTATTCGGGCAGGGGGGATAAATCGGCCACAAGCTGTGGGGAGAGCAAGATAGGCAGGTTAGTGTCTGGGTCCTGAGTTCCATGCAGTTGAACTCTATGGAAAACTTTATTCACCTGGAGGTGGCTGGGCCTCTGTAATGCCTGTGAAGACAAGAAGAAAAACATAAAAAGAGACTGAATGGACCAAGAAGGGTAGCCAAAGATAAAACAAAATATGTTACATTGGATCACTTTTTAGATTAGCAATGTCTATGATGACATTGTTTAGACTTAATTATTCATTAATTAATAATTAACATATGAGACTTGGAACTTTAAAAATAAGCTGTGTGTCATTTAAAAATGGTCATTCCCATTTTAGCACATATCACTACTTCACTTATCTGTAGTAAATAAAGGTACAGATATGAAGGAATTCTTGACCCAATACCATCCAATGAGTTTCAGGGCTTGTGAGGATTTGTGTGAGATAAAAGGAGTAAGACAACTTCAGCACTTTTTAAAAATCAAACTAAAAGATTACTTTGATTCCAAAATAAAATGAAGTTGATGAGAAATAAATGAGGAAATAATATAATGTATGCATATGTGTATGGATAATGAGGACATAAGGATGGTGTGTAACACTAGATAGATCAATTTTATTTTTTCATATTTCCTCTCTCCATTTTCTTTTGCTTCCTTCTTATTTCATCTCCATTCTTTCCTTAATACCATGTTTCCCTGAAAATAAAACCTTCCTCAAAATAAGCCCTAACTTGATTTTTGGGGGTGGGCCTAATATAAGCCCTACCCCCAAAATAGGCCCCAGTTATGGGGTGAGGCAAATCAAGCTAGGGTGGGGATGGGGGATGGAGCTGCCCCACGTGCCCTGCACCCACTTACCTGGCAGACAGGCCTCTCCTTCCTAGCCCACTTCTTCTGCGGTGTCCCCAGGCTGCATTTCACATTCTTGCCATTCTGCAAGGCCTCTGCAACCGAGAACCAAGCTATAGATTGAATCCATTGTTCTATTATTGGCTGCAGAGGCCTTCCGGAAAGGCCTGACTGTGAAATGCTCCATTCTGAGCTACAGAATGAAGCTGCTCCTTCAGTCACAGAAGGAGTGGGCTGGCTGGGTAGGGCTGTCGGTGCCAGAGGTGAATAGAAAAGCCAGCCCAGAAAAATAAGACCTAGTGCCTGTTTTGGAGGATAATAATAATAATAATAATAATAATAATAATAATAATAATAATAATAATAATAATAATAATAGTAGTAGTAGTAGTAGTAGTAGTAGTAGTAGTAGTAGTAGTAGTAGAAGTAGAAGTAGTAGTAGTAGCCGGTCTTATTGTTGGGGAAACATGGTAGCAATACCACTTAGATTTATATACTATTCCACAGTGCTTTACAGCCCTCTCTAAGCGGTTTACAGAGTCAGCATATTTCCCCCAACAATCTGGATCCTCATTTTACCGATCTTGGAAGGATGGAAGGCTGAGTCAACCTTAATGCTGCATATGTTGAAAGGGAATAGTGTGATGGATAGGTTTATAAGCATGTATGTTTGCCCTGTACATGAAATTAAGCAAAGCATATGTCTCTGTTTCAAATGTGGGCATCCATAATCTGTACCATTGTTTCCTTTTCCATCAGATCCTACTTAGTAACAAAATAATAATGAAGCTGGGTAACAAAATAATAATAAAACCAATAACATACATATTGCTGTACCCAAGAAATTTCAGGAATCAATATTTTACAAAAAGTTCCCCCAAATCTCCTTAAATGACTTCCTATGTCATTTTGGGGAGCCGCAAAGGTAATAGGGAAAAAAATGCAACCAGAAGAAATGATTTATCTGTGCTATGGTATCATCTCTATTTTTAAGAATAGTTTTGGAAAATGCATGTCTTATGGTCAGTTTTTTTTAAAAAACAAAAAACAAAAACAAAATAGTATGTGCAATATCAGTAGCTTTCTTTCACTGCTGGAAAAATATGCCTACCAGCTCCTTGAGGAAGGCAGGGAAAATAATTAGACAAACAGAAGTTAAAAAGCATTCCTGAAGGACCATTGGAATGGATCAATTTCACCAATTTTACTACTGGTAAATGGATAACTTGCAATTTCTCATATTCTTAATCACATCTATTTTATGAAAAGATGGTCTGTCCTGGAAACAATTTTGTAAAAGTACCCAAAACATGTGGCCCCCAGAGCACAATGATTTTTGACTACTAATTTAGTTTATACCTTATTTATTTTCCTTTTTTGTCCATATATGTATGTGAGAAAAGACAGAAATAGCAAGAAGGAAGAAAAGGTTTCAAAACTAACCCAGGCCAGGCCCACAGAATGTCAGGAGTCATACTTTTCCCGTTTTACTCTTATCCGTATGTAAATATATCTAAATGTACGTGAAAACATTTGAATCTAGATTTCTGAGTCCAAAGCCAACATTCTGTCTAACATTTTGTAAGAGACAGAATTACTGAGCTTAACATTAAATAGGAACACAGTAGCACGTCTTTACTAATTTTCCTCAGAACACACAAAAACTAGTTGTTACAAACAGTTTCCAGGTGGTGAATCAGTTCCTTTCAAACTGTAAAAGAAAATTTCTATGGCAGGATAAAAAAGTAATTTTGTCCCATTTCAAGAGTAGCCCAAATGATAATTCTTTATATTTCCTTGATCCATTGCTGAATGTAATCCTAGATCCAATGCACAGCAACATCCTCTCTGTAAGTGAAGAAACCTTGCAGTGGAATGATAAACTAGCTTTAGCAATAGATGACCCCAGTAGTGGGATTCATCTGGTTCGCACCAGTTCAGCAGAACTGGTAACTAATTTTTTGTTGCCCATGCCCAGAATGGACTTCCGGAAGCAGCATCCACCCAGAGAACTGGTTGTTCACATATTTGAATCCCACCATTAGATGACAGCCCATATATGATAAGGTTTAGAGTGCCCAGTTAGCACCATGCATTGACATCATGGGGTCGTGATGGGTCGGACACGACTTCGCAATTAACAACAACAATGACATCATAAATTGAAGTATCGTTTCAAGGGAAATTCTAGACAACAACGAAGAAGCAGCTGTCTCTGTATCTCTTTGCTACCATCTAGTGATTTTCCATATTTTTGCAGCCAAAATATGGTACACCTACACTTTACCATGAAAATCAAGTGTAATCTTGGATTCGCTGTAATTAAAGTATGGTAGTCAAATCAATCGACAGATAGACAGACAACGTGAATTTTCCCCTTTCATTTCATATTTCTGAATTTACACTTAAGCCTTTCACCTTTAAAGTTTTCTACATTTAATTTAAACTTTTATGCTTTCTTACTTATATGATGATAATTGTGCATACTATACTGATTCTGAGGTTACAAATGTAATAAATAATTGTATTCAATGGCATTTTTGAAATGGCAGTAAGCAAGGGAAATAAACTTTATAAATACATTTATAAATAAATCTTTTAGCTTGTACCTCCTAATATTGAAGAAAACAGATATATAATTGTTGACTCTACTTCCTACAGCTCTGAACTATGTAGATTGGATTAAGAGAGTTGGGTCTAGAAGGTCATTGGGTTGCCCTTGTAAATAATTTCTAATATTTATCTAATATTTATTTAGATTCTGAAAAAACACTTAGTCCTAAAGGTAAATTTTTAAAAAAGGGAGAAAGAAGGCATCTGTAATTTAAACCTCAGGAAATACTACATTAACAAGAGTATGAATCATGAATAATCACAGCTGAATAAATCTTATCAATTCAAACTTTACAAAAACATATTAATTCCAAACATACTTTTAAAATATCCAATAAAACAAAACAAACCCTTTCTCAGAATCTAAATAATAAATTCAAATTATTTTTAGTAAAAAAAAAAAAAAAGAACATTACTTAAAACTCTGCTATTTAACAATCCTGTATAAAGCCAGCCTCAGCTAGATATACAACAGTTGGAAGAATGCCCTGGAATCTATGAGTCAAAGTAACTATTTTGTTATCTACATTTAGCAAACAAATGCATATATAATCGGAACACCCAGTAGATTCTTTCCCCGACTTCAGAAATTTCTCGCCTTAAAAATAAAAGAATTTCTTTTAAAAAATGTTTTGATTAAAATAGGAAAGAAATACCTAATATATTTTCATATATTATATTACCAGGTCTAGGGTCTTACCCAATTGCATTCATTTAACAGTAGAACCATTTCTAAAATCAAAACAACTAAAATAAAATTAGTAACCTGCCCTGGGCTAAATAGGCTAAACCAGGGATCTTCAAACTTGGCCCTTTTATGACTTGTGGACTTCAACTCCCAGAATTCCTCAGCCAGCATGCCTGGCTGAGGAATTCTGGGAGTTGAAATCCACAAGTCATAAAAGGGCCAAGTTTGAAGACCCCTGGGCTAAACTTTACCTTTTGTAAAAAAAAAAAAGGGGGGGGATTTCTCTCATCTGTTTATGTTTAATTTTGTATTAATTTTTTCAAAGTAATAAAAAATTGGGTGCCTAGTAAACAAGAAAGGAGGGATGAACCTCTTTGTATTTTATACACCCACCTGTTTTGAAAAAAATAAGTGCCTTAAAGAAAAAAAATTATCTTACCCATCAGAAGACAGAGAAGGGCCAGTCCTTCAATCCCAAGAAATCTCACCATCTTTGTTTATGAGTCTATCTTGACTGACTTTAAGTCAAGTAATAAAAGAAGAAAGAAGTTAAAAGGTAGACAAAGCATAGAAGAATATGAATAACTGTCACTGTACTCTGACCTCCTTTTGTAAACTTTATACTCCCTATATAGCTCCTCCTAGCATCTTAAAGGAAACAGTTTGTTGTTTTTGTTTACCAGGGTAGGGAGGAGCCTTTTTAATTGTATTATTCAAAGAAATGGGTAGGACTGTAAGAACCCAGATAGATCAAAGACCAATCAAGTATTTACAAAGAGCATAAAAGGAGTACAGAAAAGCAACTGTGTTATGTGACTGTTCATTCCAGAGTGGCCATCTTTCCAAAGAATACTGTATTTGAACATAGGGTGTGCATTTAAGTTTTCTGACTTAATATACCTTTACAGATTTCTGGGACCGTTCATGTCCTACTGACCCCACTGATTGGAGCTTCTGGATGTAGTATAATGACTGTGGAGGGCACCATATTTGTAAAACATCACAGGTCTTTTCTTGGAAAAGCAAACTTACAATAATTTCATATTTGAGATGGAAAAACCAGCAATGGACCCACTGTAGGCCCATGGATTGGTTCTTCTTCAGTAAAGTTATTTGTGCCCCAGAAACAATGAAGTTCTTTTTATCTGTCTAAGAATGTAACATGAACTGTACAATGAAATAGCTATGCAGCCTGTATGTCTTGTATTCTGTCTGTTCAAAATCATATAGTCAATTATTGTTCAAGTCTGATTCAGCTTATGATGACTTTATGGATCCGTTTGTTTGTTTGTTTGTTTGTTTATATCCTGACTTTATTATTTTTATAAATATCACAAGATGGCGAACAAACCCAATACTCCTTCTCAGGGCTTTTTTTGTCATAGAACGTCCAGAACGGAGTTCCGGCACCTTTTTCGGATGGAACCTTATAGGGTAGGCAAGGCAGGTTGTATGACATGTGTGAGTTCCGGCACCTTTTTTTTTTTTTTTTTACAAAAAAAGCACTGCTCCTTCCTCCTCCATGCGGGTTTCTCAGCAACAGTATGGAGATAGTTTCTCATTGTGTTCTGCTGTGGAAAAATATCCGCTGGAAGATCTGTTCCTAGCTAAGTCCAAATGAATCAGGCACAATGTCAAAGCAAGAAGCAAGAGTTTGAAATCATTAAGTACACTATACATTTATGTGATAATTTCCATACAATATGTGAAGTGCATACAAGTTGTTAAAGCCCATCTAGACATTTTCAACATTCCCTTATCTTATTCTATTCTTCTACCAGAGTTTTACTATCTAAATCAAATTGTAGACTAACAGTACTTATAGCATCCCTTCTAATTCCATGAATAAACAACCAAGCATTCATGTGTGAAGGTTTGCCTGATATCTTTAGCTTATCTCTAGGTCAATCCATTCTCCAGTTCTTCTCTTTTTATCTGCTTTTAATTATTACAATGAAAGAGCTAGCTTGATATTTTTTTTAAAAAAAAACAAGTTTTATTAATTTTCCATTTTTACAAAGCTTCAGGTATTTAAGGAAGCAACATGGTGGTTGGGTAATACATAGTCTAATAACACGCTTATCCATACATATATCAGTTTACATCATCAAAAGTTTCCTCTCTGTATCCCTTAGTTATTATACCAAATTCACATTAATAAATTGCTAGTTATAACTCAATCATTTAAAACATTTATAAACAACTTTTAAATTATTTGTCTCCAAATCATGTTTTTGACTTTTGTCTGGTTTTAATTACAATATTTCAGTTGTCATAGTGTCTAATAATATTTAAGTTTCGGATAACCCATGGTTCCCTTAGTTCATGCAAAATAATTTCATGTCTAAAATACACTTATTATTTATTCCAGTAGATTCTTAGTTTATTTCACAGTCATATTCTAATTCTCATTCTAATATCATCACTTACTTATAAAATAACCTGTATCCTCTAAATCCATCTTCCATTTGTAATTCAAAACAATTATTTGAATAACTAATTTATTTCCCTTATAAATATAAATTCTAAATGTTAAATCAAATAACATCTTTTAACATCTCCTTATCTCATTACGTAGAATTTAAAGCTCCTCCATTAAATATCACATAAAGAAAACCATCTTAAGTCTAACTCTGGCCTTCCTTTTGTGCCAAGCTGGCTTCCATAAAAAAGCTTTTAGATCCTCAAGTGGCTCTCCCTTCATTCCTGCATATATCATTTGAATCAGGGGAGACCATCCAATCATCAGCCTGTCAAGGAAGCTAGTCCCTTCACAATCATTGAATTGTTGGCCAAATGGTTTAGGTCTCCATATTTGAGTTAATGCATTTATCATACGTTGAGGCTGGTCTTCTTCTGGTTTCGGCTGGTTCAGATAAAAGGTCATGTTCAATGTTGTAGTTGTTTTGGGATCATCTGGGTTGTCTAAAATCTCAGTATATTGTATATGTAAGTCCTCTGCATGTTCCATCTTAGCATTGCTTTGTTGAGTTTCTGTTGTTGTTGTAGTTATAAAGTCTTTAAGTGAAGTTAAAGTTTGGGTGTCGGAGTTCTGAGTAGATTGTAGCTGGCATTCTTTAAAATCCACTTAGTTATTAGTTCCTTCTTCTTCTATTGCTTTTGGGGATGTAGATTCATTTGATGAGGTTGAAGCTGCGTTTTGTAGCTTTAAAGTGGCACATACGTCTTTCATTCTAGAATTCACTAGCTCAGTGGCCTCTAGGATTTTTTCGAGTATAAGTTTGACATTAAGCTGTGGGTGGTGTTCCTCCATTTCTGTAGTGTTTACAAATAGTCCTTTAGTGGAGGCTATTTTTAATAAAAGTCAATAACTATCCACCTCCACTGTAAAGGGATATTTTCTCCACCCAGCTGTTTCAAGTTCTTATCTTTTGTTGCTGTCAAGAACAAGTTTTAGTCTCAGGAGTCTCCCAGTCAGAAAAGGATTATAATAATAATAATAATAATAATAATAATAATAATAATAATAATAATAATAATAATAATAATAATAATAATTATTATTATTATTATTATTATTATTATTATTATTATTATTTCACTTGCTGTACCAAATTTTACCACAAGATGTCCCCAGTAACATACAGAATAGAGCTTTTATCCAGTTCAAGAGAGGGGGAAAAAAGAATATTCCCCCCCTTTCTTTTTAGCTTGGCAAAAAAGTTAAACAATAAGTTTTTATAGTAGTACAGAGCTTTTAGGGAGCCCAGGTATCCAGATATTTACAAGTCCAGGTATGTAGTCATTTGATCTTATTGTTTTTGTTTGTTTGTTTGTTTTTTGGCTTTGTGTTCCTGGGGTAAGCAGAAGCTGCGGAATTAAGCTGGGGGAAAAGGGTATTTTGAGGCTTTTTACAGGAAAATAGTTGGGAAAGAAAGAAGGAAAAGTAAGATCTCACCCAACTCCTCCAGTTGCTTCATCAGGCTTATTAGTGCTTTGGGCTTTTGGCTGGTGCGACTAAGTGAGCGGCCATGTTAATGGCCGTTCTTTTCTTCTTCGGTCCTGAGGAGTTGCCGCAGATCAAATGGAGAGGCTGCCGCCCCTCCGCGATCTGGCAAAATCCTCTCCAACAGTGGGCGACTTTCGACCCTTTCCAGGGTCTCCCGATAGCAGGGAGAGCAATCTCACCGCGCATCCGCCAGCACCGCGAACCGGAACTGGAAGCCAAAAGAGCTAGCGATGTAGTGTCCGAGGTATCAGACTAGGAGACTGTGAGTTCTAGTCCCAGTTCAGTACAAAGCCAGCTCAGTAAACTTGGACATGCACACAGTCTTTCTCAGCCCTATGAAGGAGGCAAGGACAACCTATTTCCAAAATTTTGCCAAGTATTCTACAGGGACTAGTCCCGGCAGCCCAAGTAGTAAACACTGACTCAAAGGCACGCCCTTCCCCCTATCCCCCCCAAAGAGCTACTTTTATAGTGATTACATAAATTATATCAACAAACAAACAAAAAAAAACACTATTTCCCAAACAGTGGGAAATCTGAAAATACAAACCCAAAAATAGAACTGATATAAGCAAATTCAGAGAAAATAAAGATTTTTATTTTTTATTAATTTTATACATTTATAATTTAATTGTTTATTGTCATCTTTTCTATTAGCCTCTCCTATTATTATCATATGATTATATTACTTTGCTTCTGTATGTACACTGAGACCTTATGCCCCAAAGACAAACTCCTTGTGGGTCCAATCACACCTGGCCAATAAAGCATTCTATTCTAAAATACATCTGATGCACTTTTATAATTTAAAGCATTTCCTCTCTCTCTCTCTCAAAGAAACAAACAATACATTAAGAATTAAATGATTTGCAGCTCCTGAACACCAAAACAAAAAACAACAATAACATAAAGATAAAGATAAGGAAGAAAAAAAAGTACAGGAAAATCTGGAAATATCAGTTAGTCACCACTAGGTGGCAATATTGACATTATGTTTTCATTTTCTTGCACATGCAGAAACCTATAGCTAATGTAAATTTTCTGTTGGTCTAATACAGGGGTAGGCAACCTTGGCTCTTTTATGACTCGTGAACTTCAACTCCCAGAATTCCTGAGCCAGCATGGCTCAGCTTGGAAACCTCTCCCTTTTCCCTCAGCATGGCTGGCTCAGGAATTCTGGGAGTTGAAGTCCATGAGTCATAAAAGAGCCAAGGTTGCCTATCCCTGGTCTAATACATAAGTCCTATATTTCTTTTTGAACATCTTTTGAGTTCTACTCCTTCAGCTTTTGCTTTTCAAATTAGTATCTTTAGGCTTGTGTTCCATATGACAACATATTAACTTTTCCAAGAATTTTGAGTCCGCACAATATATTTAAGCTGGATATCCAAATAACCTTTTTTGAAGGGTTCCCATAATATGTTCAGCTATAAACTAATAAAACAAGCAAAATTTGCACAACATAACTAAGACATGTGTATTGATATCCACCTAACTGCAATTCGATATTTAACAAAATTTAGCATATTGAATAAGAGCAATTGCAACTCCTAGGTGAAGAAAATCATATTTGGACTGTAATTGGCAGCACAGTTATAGAGGTTTTTGCATTTTTTTAACTGA